GGGGCCGCCCCCGTCACGTGAAGGCGACGGGGCGCGCGGGCGGTATTGAAGGCAGCGCGCGGCGGGGCCTCCTGCTCCCCTGCAGCTCCCTCGGGAGGGGGCTGGGGACAGTACTGATGAAAGAACCAGCCCACGCCCCTCAGCCCTTCTCACCCTACTATTTGTGAAGAGTACCTCTGCTACTGTCCAGATGACTTTTCGCATTTTCACCCCTCTGTGATAACAAAACTTCTTTCCACTGTACCCAAACCCATCACACCTGACGCTACCAAGAGAAAAAAAAAACTTTTTTTTTTTTTTGCCCCAGAAACTTTGTAAAGCGCAATTTGGGCAACAGGGGACCCGCCCCCCACCTCTGACCTCTAACTTAAAGCCCTTTGCATGAGTAAAACACTTCCATTGGTTTCCAGTAGCAGAAAAGCAAATTCCATAAACTCTTCAGAACAGCTTCCTGTGAGGGGCACAGATGCAGGCATTTGAATTTCCTAAACAACACAAACAAAAGAAGTTAAAAGCATTTGAAATGACCCCGACCTAAACAATTGCCCTACATGCTGCCGATGTTTATGACTTAAAGTCTTCAGGACTTGACTATGGAGTCAGTTTCTTCCATCCTCCTCACTTTTTACCTCCCCCGAAGAATCAATACCCATCCAGAGATCAGGCTGTCTCCCGGCAGACCCAGGCTCTCCCTCTTCTCCAAGCACCATCAAGCTTCCTTCCCACATACTTCAACATTTTGCATTCTCTGCTGTTGTCTCGAAGCAAGAAGGAACTGTTAGAGGCTTTGATACCTGCGCTGTTTGTTCAACACCAGCGGCTCGATCTGTCTGTGATAATTTCCTGCAGTCACGCAAAAAAAAAAAAAAAATAAAAAAATCTGAAGCAGTGTTAGTTCCTGTCACACGTGGAGCAGACCATCCCATAATCACGATGCAGACAGTAGGTCACACAACATTCAGCAGAGCAGAAACAAAACATTATGTTTTTGGCTTCTTCAATCATGTTACTACCTGGTATCTGTTTCAGGGAAAACATTAACCATTCAGGTAAAGGGAAATTTCTTTATCTGTAAAGCACCTAAATAAAAATTGAACTATGGTTTGTTTGTCCAGGCTTTGCATAGCTCTTTACATTAAATTCACCAACAGTGAAACACACCATGCGAACTCTATTTTACTTCTCCTTTGTCTTCTACAACGAGTGACAGTTTAGAACCCAAAATAAAAAGCTCGTTAAAGAAAGTGATTATACCAATCTATTACTACCACTGTTTGTCACCGGATGTTTTCTTTTTCGATGTCTCACTGTAGGGTAAATGTGACAGATCGATATATTTTAAAAAACTGTTACATGTTCAAAACTGTCAGCGGTGTCTTGAAGCAGTTCTCCCCTCCTCATAGGATGTCAATGTGTATTATCCCCTTTAAAGAGATCAACCAAACAACATCCTAAGCTTTTATAAGAATATTTGGTTTCCAGTTTTCTTAGGAATTATTTGCCACAGACTACAGAGCATTATGGTGTACAACTTCTTGCATGTCAAAATACAGCTCTCAGTAGTAGGTAGCTTGGAAAAAAATCCGCTATTCCAGTCCCATCAGTCGCTATGCTTATTTGTAATAACAGACACACTCTTATTTCTTTTGCAATTCGTGCTGTCCAGCTTTTGATCACCGCAAGTTATAGCATTTTGTCAGGATCTCGGAATTTCCTGTGTAGTAATGAGTACAATCCCACGGAACAAGTTAACAGTGCTATCCAAAAGGAAAAAAAACAAAACAAAAACCAGAACCACTCTGTTATGTCCTTGTGCATAACAATAAAACACAGTAAGGAATACTTGCAATTTATCTGGACATGACAGAAGGAGGTAAGAAAGTATATATGAAGACTCGTGTGCACACAGCAGCATTTGTATCCTTTGAAGCTATTCCTTAGCAAATGACTTACTAGAGTCATTCCCAGCCCCACGGACTCAGCTGACATTGAGGAGCCTCAGCAATCTTTTGTCTCTGGCCCACATTGCCATGTGCTTTATCAGGACTGCAATTCCACGTGCAAGTGTAACGTCAGCATAAAAAACCTGCTATGTTTTCTGTTCAATTCAAATCGCTTGTCACTGTATGTATCCTCCAAAAAGGCCAGGCAGTAAATCAATCTCCTACCGAAGTTACTATTTACACTTCATTTGAACTAGTCATGTTATCTCTGCTACTGAGTCCCCCTAGTATCAGACAATGGGAAGTTCATGGAGAAGAGGCTCTCGAGCTAAGCATCCACTTCTTCCTGCAGACCTTTCAGCAATTTTAGATTGCAAACATCGTCCTATTTTAGAACTACCCAAGAGGTCTTGATACAGGCAGTAAGCATGCTCATCTCATCACACTATGAGTTTATTACAGTTTATCCACATCATCTCAGTCTCCTCAGCTCAGCTCTGGCTAACTATTGTCCAATTTAAACCACAGAAAAGCACATTGTAACAGTTAAACATGGCACAAGAACATTTGGTATGAAGCAGAGGATTAGTTTTATTTCCAGGCACGATAAATTTAAGACCAAATTTCCCAAGAATACAACTAATTTTAAAAAATAAATGCCATCAACACGTGGTACCACTGTTTCTCCTCTCCTCACACAGTTTCATTGCACACATTTTTTCCCCAAGTGCAGTCAAACAGAACAGGGGTGAACAGCACAGCAACAGACAACCTAAGACCTGTAAGATATATACAGTGTTCCTACAGAGTGAGTAAAACGAACAGGAAAGCTGACTACGACCCATAAAAACTTCAGAAATTTTCATCACATCTGAAGTTAATAGACATGAATTTACAGTACTGAAGAGGAGTATAAATTGCATTAGGCACACTGGTAAACAGTATAGTAGGAAAAAATATAGGGCTTGGAACAAGCCATTTGAAGCACAATAGAAAGGTTAAGGCATTAATGTGGACTTGGTATCCAATGAGCTATGTAAAGGGCATCTTTGGGTCAGCAGAGTCTTTCATCTGGAGGAAATTTCTTCTTTACCTGCAAAGGAAGAGGTAACTTAATTATTCCTTTCCATGGAGACAGTTTACTAACTGAAGACCTGGTTGTTAACCACAACTATTTCCATTCCATAAATGCGCTGAGAAATGGTCAAGAACTGTAGATAATTCATCTCCATGGAGCTTCAAGAATAATTTCTACTTTCTTGCTTTCTTAGCAGTTTCATTTCTGAAGTTACTGCAAGCAGTTTTAATTACATTATAAGCTGGTAGAACTACTATCTTACTAGAAAGTTTTCAATGCTGCAACAAGCATCCAGTCATCTGGATGATAGCCCTCCTTGTACTTGCATGAAGTTCCTGGCCTGAGAACACAGACTGTAAATTGACAAAGTTAAGGAGAAAAGGTGGCATTAGATCACATTGCTTAAAAGAGGCTACAGCCCATATTTACCACAGCTACAGAAGTTTGCATGTTCTTACATACTGCCATCCAAGCCATTAACTTAATTATATAGACAAGTCATCTGACTCATCATCATCACTTGAATTGGAGGGATTCTGACTGAGAAGACCGACCAAAACTCTGTAATTTGGCATAGATCGATCAAGTCAGCATCTGTAGAAGCTCCTCACTAGAACTGCAGTAGCCTTCTGCACGCGTTTTCAGCCTGCTCTGTTGGTCAAGTAAAATGAGCTTGCTTAGACTATCCTAATTTTTAAATAACATCTCTCCACTCTGCGAGTCAGTATTTCATTCTCTTTGCTTTAACTCTTTGCATTGTCCGTACTAATCCATCCAAACCTCAGCTGAAAGAGAAATGGGAGGCAGAAAAAAGTATGGTAGCTATATTCTGTGCTGTGCCAGGGAGATATATCCCAAATCTTTCAGATGGAATCTAACTCACAGCTCCTGTCTAGTGAGAAACAAACCGGGAAGCTCAGAGGGCAGAAGTGCACAACAGCAAAAGCCAGGACACTGTAGCCTGATCAAGGCAGCCACCTCCTTGCTGCTCAGCAAACTCAACACTACAAGAGTAATTCAAACAAGATTGTGGAGGATATAGTACGTCCTGTAATAGCACATTTCTAGTAAGAAAGAACATAATCCTCAAATATTGTAGTTAAATATTATTATATGCCTTTACTTTTTTTAAAGCATTCTTTTTCACAAAGACAAAAACCTTCATTTTATTCCAAAATTAAGCCAATGAAATCAGATATATCAAAGCTTAAAACAAACTGCTTCATATAACACATCAGCATGTGCTATAAGTTTCAAACACTCCAGCAATAAGTTTAAAAATGACAGCTCCTCACATAAACTTTCTGACCATCCTAGAACACATTGGTTCCCCTTCTTCCTTGGTACAAGTTTACCTCCAGTTCTCTGGAAAACCCTTCACTGAAAGGGAGAGGGAAAGCCCTGATTCTTCTAGCGGGCACCTAGAGTCAACAGTTGTATCTCATGTCCAGTTTGTCCTTGCTGGTTGCAACACACAGACCAAATATCAGTCAAAAGGAAGCCCAATCTTTATATTCAAGGCATTCACTTGTCCAGATAACTACATTTCAATTTCAGATCCCAAGCAACTGAATTATCGAATGGTATTCAGGCATCTGTATGCCCATTACCAGAATACACTGGTCTCTGTTTTAGCTAACTAATTATGTGTTAACACAAGCAGTGAAAATGCACCTAGGCAATTCAGCTTGACTGACTTAGCTAATTACAGGTCTCTACTTGAAGCAGGGCCAAGTCTACCTTTAGCTTCTGCTTGCTGCTTAAAAGAGAAGATACAGACACACTCGCACGCCACAGTCTGACAACACCACAGTTCAGATGAAGCCTACTTTGAAGCACTGGAGCTTTGCTTTAGGGTAAATGCTCAAGATGCTTTACAGACAACATTTAACAGAGCTGTAACATCAACTGTCATCTGTCTGCTGCTATTGGACTTCTGTAAACAGAAGTTAAAGTAGCAACAGCAAGGGGGTAAGCAGCTAAACCTAAAAGGAAAAAAAAAAAAAACAGGTAAAAAACTAAGAGTGCCTAATTATTCAGTTACCAGCATAAAAACTAAAATCACGGGTAGTTCTTCCCACACCTATCCTTCATTTGAACCTTCAACTCCAGATGCTGCCGTTCTAGAGAAACCTGAAGCCATCGCGTTACTTTTAGTATAAGTCTTCGTATTTTTGCTGGCCATGTCAGAAAGCGTGCCCGAGAACCGCAACAACAGCATTCCAATAGCACTACCCAGATAGAAATGACCAGGCTCATCTATGATTAAAGTTGCACATAGGCTATCATTAAAAAAAAAAAAGTTATCTGTAAGCTCAGTGTTTGTGCTATACATTGACAGGAGATAAATAACCTTCTAATTGCAATTCTCACTCTGACTTCCCAGATGAATGAGGGCAACTATCCATTGCCTTGGAAATCAGGACAGGTCTTGGATGAAATGGTAGTAGGCTTGAAGAGAGGTTTAACAATTGTTAGAAGATTAGGAAATCTATTTATGCTAGTTATTAAAGGACACCTCAGCGTGATTTTTTTTTTTTTGTAGGAAGAAGAAATGTACTGTTCTTCTTACAAACCCCTGCTTACTGAACACAGCACCACATGACATGATGGCAGAGAAAAATAACTATACAAGAATTCAGTCCAAGCTTTTCACAGTATCTAGTCAATATTAACATCCAAAATATGTTTTGTTGCAGCCTACAGAAAGATAGATTTCTCCTGCAAAACAGCTAGCAATTCTGAACACACTGCTTACACTACTGTTCAATTTCTCCTGAAGCTTTAACATACCAAATAGATCAATAAATCTGATCATACTCACCTAGTCAATAAATTGCAGCAGAGGACAGACATCCTTAAGGCCAGTGAGCTTTAAGATACCAGATTGTTTCATTGCTTAACTGCGGCCCAAAGAGAGGGTTCAGTTGAGCCAGAATCGCAATCAGCCAACTGCAAGACAACCCCCCAACCCAAAAGAGAGAACATCAGCCAAATTACAAAGCTTATGATAATGGAAAGGCTTGTCCAAAGCACAAGTACTATCAGAGAAGACAAGATGATTTTTAGGAAGGTCTAGTATCAAATCAAAATTTTGCTCAAGCTCATACACAGAGATACCAGCAACGAAGATCTGGTACCGAATCATTCCTCAACTGAAACAATAATTGTCTTGTTCAATTTACAGCAACACAAAGCCACCTGACAGCATTTCTCTCATACTTTTGCTTTGATGGGAAAATGTTTTAAGACATATGAAACTCAGGTATTTGTGGGCTCAGAAAATAGAAATATGAGAGAGAGACCTTTTCTCAGTGCCTTTCAAGCATCCTTTAAAACAAAATCCTCTGAGAAACATATTCTCTCTCACTTGCTCTTATTTTCTGTGTATGACAACCTACCCTTGCAGGCATGGTATATTTTTCGCCCAAGATTGAACAAAGTGAATTCAAACCTGGCACAGAGGTCAAGATACAGGGATCTGAAGCAAAAGGGTACAATGCTACAGGAACACACACAAAAAAATGCAAAACCCTACAACAACAAAACCAATACGACACCAAACCCCAGATCATCAGCAACAGCACCCTTGTCACCAGAGCAGTTAAACTGACACTGCAGAAGCCATAGCCCAGAACCGAGAAGAGGAATGTAGTTTGTGGAAAATATCCAGGAAAGCTAAACAGAAATAAATATTCCACTGTTAAAATGTATTTGCTTTGCAAATATTACAAGATTCAGAAAAAGCGATGGATGCTTCCATGGATTTAAATCTATGTTAAATACTAACTATATAAACACATTTAGTGAACACAGTGGCTCATCTGTCTGCTATTTCTAGAATGCTTTGTAAGGAGGAGAAAAAGCAAAGCAGCTTTGTAATGGGAGCTGCCACAAATGTATCAGAGTGCTTAGGCAGTCATGGAAAATTCCACACAAACCTTGATGCTTTGACCAGCAAACGAAGTGCAGGTCTGCTGCAAAATGGCTAGAACAGCCAGGGGCAAAAGATGTGGGCCAGACTTAAGAAAACACATCAATCCTCTTAAAATTTACAAATATTTATTTTCAATGTCACTTTCAGTTTTGCACAAAGTAGGAGTCTAGTTAAAATGACATGCTGAGCCTGCAGCAGCCTATCAGTCATGCAAGACTTGAAATATGTAGCAGGCTCTACACAGCAATTAAAACATCAGCAAGTCACCACCAAGAAAAGCCAATAAGCTTTAGGTTGACATGTTTCTACTTTGCTATCCAAAGCGATGACAACAATGTATTTTGAAACCATGTTAATCATTATGTTACATTTACTTAAGGGAAAAGCAAATTAGCTCTGAAAAATACCACGGACCTCAGGTTGCAATGGTTAATTTTCAGATACAAGAGACAGACAGAAGGGGTACCAGAGCACTGCACCATCTGCCTTCAGCATCCTGAACTAACAGAAGTGGGAGGAGGGTAGGAACACTAAAAGCCTGTTAAAGCACATTATTCTCTTTCTCGCTGTACAGAAGGAAGGAACTCTATTGCACAAATATCTCACCTCTCTATGCTTCCTGAGTTCAGACCCAGCATGGCTGTGATTTAAACGAGCTGGAAGCACATTCAAAATATTGACGTGCCCCAGCTGTATAACCATGCTTTAGGCAAGCACAGTGCAGTTTTCAAAAGCTATTTGTTGGGACCATGCTGGATACCCAAGCTCCGAGCCACAGTGGCATTACAGGTCAATAGCATATTCCTCCACCCTGCTCTGCTAGGGCCTAATAATTTAAAGCAGTAGTTAGGTACTGAACTCTACGACTCCGTTGCATTCAATGTAAGTAATGAAAAAGCTTTTCCCATGGTTTGGCTTAAGCAACGCTGCTTTATACAACAATCTATCATGACAACGCAAAACAAAATGCAGCATTCAAAGTAAAACAAAGGAAGCCTCTGTATCCAATGTGTAATGTCCTAGAGTTGCTAAAATCAGGTATGGCATTCAAGCCACCCACAGGTCCTTAAATTCTACCAGATACCACTTACAACAGTTAGTGTTAATTACCCAGCTCAGACAAGGAAATTGAAGTCCCTTATGTTCCACCAGAAAGATTTTTTTAAAAGGTCTTTGTACCATAACTGCCATCTGTCTATGCTGCATATTACAAATTAAGGTCCTGCTATCTCTGTTTAAATGTCAGTTTGGGCAACCATATTTTAATCCTTTTAGAATCAGTAGCAAATAATACCATTTTTCAAGACCCTGTCCTCTGTTAGTAGAATATCATGGTACTGTTTCAGGAACTGCTTTGTAAACAGCAAAACAGATTTAGACTTTGACAGTACCTTACAACATGGTGTAACCTATAATTTCTGCAGCAGTAACTCCTTATACTTTGCCTTATATTTTATCAGGTTCCTGAGGCTTGTGTATTCTCCTTCAAAAGGCTGCTGGGTACTGTACACAAATTATGCACTTACCCATGAAAAAATCTTCCATAGAACAACCACATTAACACCATGAGATCAATATAGTTATTCAAAATGATCACTGTTAAATCTAAACACAGAAGGAATAGCTTTAAGTTGAGATGAGATTGACTTCGAACTTAGTTAACACAAATTCAGTTTGATGCAAATCAATTTGTCAATCAAGTGGTGTTTAATGAAGACAGGAAATTGGTTTTTCCCTATTTTCAACTGGAAAGGTAACTCAAAGAGTATGCAGATAGGTCTAGCAGAGTTCTACACAACTCTAAAAAGAAGTAGATAACAGCACAAGCCACCTAAGGATGCACAAGTACAGAGGACCATACCTGGGACAACACAAGCTATTTTAACCCTAACATATCCAGCGAAGAATCCTCAGAAACCATTCTTTCGGGCTTCCTTCAAGACTGGTATGAAAAATTGGTCTCTTCCTTTAGACTCTGAAATTAAGGTCTGAAATTTATTCAATGCCTCACCCAAAAAAGGAAAAGGCTATGTGAAGAACAAACTTACATTTGAATTACATTTGAATAAAAGAGAGGAAAGAAATGTTGGACCAGATGATCTTCCAAGGTCCTTTCCAACCAGGACTGTTTTATGATTTTATAAAGAATTCATGAGGGGGAAAAAAAAAAACAAAAAACTAAACTACCCAAAATCCACTGTGTGATGAAGCAAGTTCTATCTTGGAACCCGAGGAGAAAAATCTGCTTTTTGTTGTATTCTGGCAAGCAGACACTATACATGCAATTTCTGCAGTTGGGTATAACTACCAATGGTTTAAAACACAGTAATATTTTGCTGCTTCTCTTTTTTCACGGTGTAATTGGAAAAAGCCAAAGGGAATGCAGAAAACAAGTTAGAGCCCACAAGATTATGAAAGAACCCCCTCACTGGACATGCAAGAACAGATTATAAATCATGTTAATGACACTAGATTTATAATAGGTCTGTTCTGGTACAAAAATCAATAAACTTACAAGTGAAATGCCACTGTACATTTGAAGAGTTCACAGCATTCAAAATTAAGAAATGCTACAAATACATTCCACATCGTAATCCAGAGGATTCTGCAGATACTACATGGCCTCAACTTGAAGGAAATTGTCCTTCTTCAAACAATAAAGAAAACAAACCCTAAGCTTCAAGGATTTTAGAAGAATAGGACATTATTTCTGTTCAAATATAGTGTAGGAAGAACTTAAATGAGAACTTCAAACTTAAACAAAACCAAAACCCAAATCACAGCCACCACCCCCCAAAAAAACCAACTTACTGTAACTTAAACACAGTAGCCTAGTAAAAATGAGCCTATACATACTATATGTGCAGGTAAGGACATCTTCATAGCACTGAGATTCCCAAATTTCAATTCCAAATGGCACTATAAAGCTCTTCTCAAGTTTCTACATCTGCTCAGCAAAACTTTAAGAAACTATCATAGATACAAAACACAGAACCGAGTTTGCTGTACTTTTGCATTTATCCAGAAGAATGATTTCTTAAGACTTCACCTGTCAAATATGCTGAATAAAAAAATAAATAGGCCTCACCTGTATAAAACCTGAATATCGGATTATTAAACTAGATCAAACCTGCATAAGCCTGTGCCACAGGCCAACGTAACATGGAACCAAACAGGTCCCTGCTGGAACATGCTGACACTGATAGTATGACTTTTGGCTGCCAGTTCTTAAGAATGAGTCTTGAGATTAGAAATGCATTTCTCTAAATATTCATGTTAAGATCCATAGAATAGCATAAATAATGCCTAAATACTTCAGGAAAGTACAAATACTACTCACGTTCAAGTGGAACTCTGAATAATGATTTTATTACAAGTTAACCCTGAAGATCTAACCAGCCTTTTACCAATTTTCTCTCCATAACAAGTTCTTCCCAAACACCTTTCAAAGTTATTTCTGCATAGCACTTTCTTTGACAAGATCAGTCTCTATAGTCTTAAAAAATAAAAAAGAAAAGAAAAAAAGAGAGATATAAAATGATAACTACACTTTCTCTTGCGGACTCCAGCTACAGCTGGCTTACCTCTTGACAAGAAACAAAGAAACAAACATGGCATGAGGATTCCCTCAACAAATAGTTTTTCTACTAATTCTGTTACAGAAAAAAAGGCAGCCTCAAAATATACCATGCATTGAAGAAGAAAGTTTTAATATATCAAAGCATCACAATTTTTGTCACAAAAATTATTTGTGACAAATAACCATCAAAAAACCCCACGTATAAGGTTTTCCACCCACTGCTCTGCCAGATTTTGAGAATATATTCAACCAAACTAAGTGAAGCAAAACTCATTAGTAGGTTTAAATTAGTATCACCTTAGAAATAAATGTAAGGGTATAAAGAATGAAAAAGGCAAAAAGTCAGTGGTCTACTGTGAATCAGAAAAATTCTAGAATTAACAAACTGCCATTATACTTGTAAGCAAATAAGCCAGTGAATTGGAAAGAAGTAATATCAAGTCAACACATTCAACAGTAACATGTCAGAAGACAACAAGAACAATTCAGGTTTGTTTTAATTCAGTGTCAACCAACAGGAAAGTGTTTTCTTCAGCAGGCTGAAGGTCTTTAGAACTAAGAAATCTAAGCACATCAAAACTGTGCCTTGATTAAGAGGCAAGACATTATTTATACTTACAACAGGTAGCAGCAAACAGCACATGTCACCAGCATTGTGTTGATAACACTGCAAAAAGGAAGGAGAGAAACAGCTGATTAGGTGTCATGTTATGACTGACCACAAGATACATCGGAAAAGAAAAAAAAAAAATCAAACCACAAACAAGAAGTAGTTCAACTTTGATCACATGAAAGGTGACTCAACGTGAGTGTTCTAACTTCTTCCAGCTGAGTAAGTTGCAGAGGCACAGCTAAGACTCTGCAAAAGAACTGACACAGCTCTGGCAAAGAGAAGTACACAGCTGTATTTAACAAAAATCACTCTGAAGAGGAGCAAAATCTTATTCCATTAGTGCCCTTGCTCCATATTCACAGTCACTTCTACCAGCAAGTTAGTAACCTACTGAAGCTGGATGTTCTTATGCCATCAGTAAACAATAATCATTTTCTCTATTTGCAAATTCTGCTTACAGAAATTTCAGTATCAAAATATATCTTAATTTTATATCATGAATGAGGGATTTGCAAATTGAATACAAAATAAAATCTCAAAGCCACATGGAATTATCTGTAGGATAAGATTTTCCTTTCTTGCTGAAAGCAGACTGCATCAGAAACCATAGTTAAGCTGAAAAGAAGCAAGAACCAAGCAGCTATTGAAATTGAAAGTGGTAAAACTGCAGCTACACACACATGATTTTTAAGTGGGAGGAAAGGAAAGGAGATTTTCTAACAGCGAGTGATCTATGCAGCTCACGGAACTTCACAGCAAAATGGAGGGGTTTTTTTTCTCTTTAAATTATAAAAAGGGATTTCCCTCTATTCCCCTCCCCCCCTCAAACAGAGTAACAAAAACTCATGCTAGGTCACTAACCTCCAACCCTTTTATGACATGGATAACATTCAGGATTTTTCATCTATCAATACACACCCACCTTGTCAACTTTCAAATGAATGCTACAAAGCTAAAACGGCCTGGATTAAGCTTCAGGAATCCCTTCTTTCCAGGGACTCCCAGAGTCATTGTTTGGGAGTTTTAACCTACACAATGTGAATTCTTAGGTAGGTTAAAGTTTGCATTGACTTCTTTTGTTATAAAAAGAATAAACCTATTCAAAAAGAGGCTTTTGGGTCGAGTGTTTTGTTGGTTTTTTGGGGTTTTTCTTTTTGGAGGGGGGGTTGTTGTTGTTTGCTTGGTTGGTTTTGTTGTTTGAAGAAGACGACGAGCCAATAACAGACTACAGAGTGTTGCCACGGACATGCTAAAGAACCAGAACACAGCAGTGCTCTATTTGTATTTGTTAAACAATCACATTTTGGAATAATGACAGAACGTTGGTGACCCACATACTTTCCACATACATAGACATGCCTGGAAGGCATATTCTCAAGGTACTTCTGAGGACAGGAAAATTTTCAGGCATGAGACACACTTTAGGTTTGAAACTGAGGCAGTAAATACCAGAGCTAAGTAGAACTTGAGGAAAATTCCTCCAAACAACTAAGAGAAAAGACAGTTGGTACCTGTGGAGCAGAAGGGATGTCAGAGAGAGGAAGAGAGATTAAGAAGTCATTATCTCCTAGGGAAAAAGAGAAAGACAAAAACTTGTCTACTGTTTAACCTGAGCAGCTATGATCTAAGCAGAAACATGTTTCTTGCAGTGATGCCCTGCTTTTGTCCTCAGGCCACCACAGCTACAAGGCCACTAGCGTACATTTAAGCACAGAATAGAGATCTACTACAGCAACTTGCTCAGTCTCATCCAGCGTGAAACTAGAGGATGGTGGAGTAAGTTAGAAGAGGAGAGGTGAGGTAAGGAAAAGAAAAAGGAAGCTATTGCTCAAATGCCACCTGACTTAACAATAGACGTCCTTGCCGCAGGACGCTGTGTTTGCAGACGTTTACAGGGCTCGAGAGGGAAACTCACAACCGTAACGGC